TTTGATTTTCCTTGGGAGAATCCCTCACATACACACACAAATCAGGCCATTTAGTCCACTTCATGCTGTCAGTTGCCAGACTTTACCTGCCACATGAAATGATCATGAAACCCATGCTGGTCAGTGATGGGTTCAGAATTGGACATATGATTCAGGCAGGGCTAAACAGCTGTTTCTGAGATTTACTATATGAACATCTAATGGGACAGAAATTTTCTTTCTTATAAATCAGTATCTCTAACAATGTATGTAAGAATATAAAATTGAGGCTACTAGTAGCCATCTTTCTCACTGTATGGAGAGTATATCTATCAATAATGTCAACACAGAGATAGCCAAGAGTTGGGGGGAAAAAAGAGCTGGATCCAGCCATGCCTGAAGCAAGATAGCTACATCCTCAAACTCTTTAGTTAGGAGTTAATAAATTACCTTTAATGTTTAATCTAGATTAAACTGGATCTTGGTCACTCATAACAGAAAGAATTCTAACTAACACATATTTAGCAGTCTGCAGACAACACTACTAGAAATGTCAGGAGTCTGTTCAACTTTCAGATGGCCTTACTCTTTTATCCTTGGTTGCTACAAAGTCCTGCATTTCTGCATGGCTAAACAAAATGACAGAGGATCTACCCACAAAGAAAGCCTAGTCCTGTAAGAAATGGGCGGTTATCAATGACAAAACATTTTTCCATGCCAAGAAAACAATTACTAAACTTTGGATGCCCTTTGAAAAATGTTATCATCAAGAAAAAAAAAGTGAAAGCCAAATTACACAAAATAAGGACATTTAAAGCAATCTATACCTTATAAACATATCAAAAGCAGCATAACAAAAGGTGAGGAGACATTAAAATGAGATATAAATCTTTTCTCCCATCTCTAGTACATGTTATCAGACAAAATAACAACAGGAATTTTTTAAATGTGGTTTTTTAAAAAAATACAGTTTCTTATCTCTTATTTAATTTTTTAACCATCCAACCCTTTTAAACTATCTATGTTCAAGTCGGCCTCTATCCAGTGCAGCCTCATAGGATTGCCCCTACTTGGAAGGCAGGGAGATTTTCCAGCCAGGAGGACAGTGGAACCTGGTGTCAGAGTCTCAGGCTGTAGTAGAGAATATCCTTCATTTTGTTGGAGGTTTACAGGGACACCATGACCTAGCCCACGGGGATGGCTGCAAGAATAAAGAATGCCTGCAGCGAGAAGATTGCAACAATCAACCACACCACCTCCCTTATTTTTTGTATAAAAGGAGCCTGACTAGAACAGGATGGTTCTCCAAGACAGTAGTCTGCCATCCTCTCTGTCTGCCAGCTTTCTGAATAAAGTCACTATTCCTTGCTCCAACACCTCGTCTCCCTACTTATTGGCCTGTTGTGCGGTGAGCAGAACAAGTTTGGACTCAGCAACAAGGTTTCAGGCTCCAAACAAATCATAACACCTTCCTGGCTCAGGAGTCTCTTTATCAACTTAAATAAGGAGAGTCGAGAAATCCTGTTCTCTTTTTCCTTTACTAACTTCATGTGTATTTAACCTAATATGTCTTAATGCATTTAAATTTTTTGCACGTGAGTAAGTCTGAGGAGTTGTAATTATTCATTAGAAATTATTTTTCATTTTTAAGTTTACTGCCAGAGCTATTTGACAAATCACCAAGGTCAGCAAAAGTTTCACAAACAGCCATTGAATGAGCACCCAAAGGCCAACCTGCCCACCCCTCCCCACAGGGATCCCAGAGACGGCGCCCTGGGGAGCCTCAGAGGAGAGGAGGCGGGCAGAACCCAGCACAAAGCCCCCCGGTGCCTCCTGGGCACGCAACACCCCACGACATTTCCCTTCCCCCTGCGTTCAGGACCTCACGGCAGAACCCCAGCAAAGGGGGAAAACCAGCAGGTCCCTGAGTAACTAGAGATTGGAGAGAGGAATCTAACATTGCCGCGGATAAAAAGTGCCAGAAGAGCAGTGTGGTGAGTATGAGGAAGGATGCAACTGGGTGAGCGGGGCCGCTGGGTCCGTTATCCCCAGATGGAAGCTGACAGGTCTGATTAAACCCAAGGCTGTCAGAGGTCTGCCTCAGGTCCGTATAGGAAACTATGTCTTCTCAAATTCCCTCATGCTCATTATTCCCAGCCCTCCAAAAAAAAAAAAAAAAAAAAGGTGCTTCTCTGCATTTTGGCCTCTAGAGATTTCCTTTAAACCAGTGGAAGTCCCCTACACGTGCAGCTGAAACCAGCCTAACGCTGTACCGCCACACTCTCGGGAACACTGAACAAATACAGGCATGGCCTCTGAGAGCATTCCTTTCTGTGTCCCTCCTTCTCCAAACATTTCAGCCTGAGTACTTATTTTCGATCGCTAGGTGAGCGTTTACAAGTAGATTCAAAATATCTAGACGACTTTACCCATAGCCTCTCCTGCTCTAATCCCTCTCCCCTGGAGAGGCCACCTGCTTCTACAGCCATGGAGTCACGAGAAACCTCAACATGTTTCCCTGTGTCCTCCATCTCTCCCATCCCACCAATCCCTTCTGCGCCTAGTTAAGTCCATTTTACTAATAAAGACCTACTCCCAGTAAGGCTCTCCTTATTAGCTTTCGGAGCTCCCTCCAGGCTAATGAGAAGGATTACTAACTCTGGGCAGGTATACAGGCTGTCAGTCATTTACTGTTGATAAGAAACTAGGCACGAGGGCTAGCTGTGAAGGTGGAGCAATCTTTTCTATCAACTATATTTCACGAGCTCCACAATATCTTTAAGCACATACAGATGGAAAATCCAATAATGAATCAACTGACTCTGAACTCCCGATCCCAGTTCCTACTGGTTTTTGCCAATATCCCTGACCCCAGATCTCAGCTCTCAGGAAAAGGAAAGATTTTTGTCTTTTCCAATGATCAATCCAGGTTTCTTCAGGACTAAAACTGGACTTCTTTCCAAGATTCTTCTCTTCCTAGATGACCCAGTGGACTCATTATTTGCTCATTCCTCATATGTCTCTCAACCCATCTTAATTTTAGAATCTCTCAGCTGCACACCTGGCCCTGCACAGTCTGCTGCCAGGGCTCCTCAGCCTTTTCCCCAGCAAAGAGAGTTGGAGGAAGAGGAGTGTAACAGGACAAGGCCAGAGCCAGCTGAAGAGACGCTGGACAGGGAGGCTGCTGGCCGGCAGGGGTTCCAGAAGTGGGGAAGGCTCCCCACAAACCTTTGGTCTTTGAGCCCCTTCAGCCTGCCTGATCCTCGCCACACACTGCTGTCTCCCAGGAATGCATCCAGAACCCCGTGAAAAGGAAGACAGTCCTCTGTCTCATACAGAACAGGTGCTAAACACATATCTGCTGAATTGAACTGAATGGAATTCATTCACAGGCCACACCCCTAGTTACCATGCATCAAACCATAATATCTGACTTCCTCATCCTGACATTAAATGCTGTTTGATGATGGCTATCAGTTTGATGAAATCAGATAGTATTTTACCCTACAGTACTTGTTATAGTAACTACCATGTAGTGAGCGCTTACCACACATCCGGCTCTTTGCTAAGTGCTTTATAGTTGTTAACTCAGTTAAGCATTCCAACGGTGGTTGCTCTAATATTACTGCAAAGGAATGGCTTAAGGGTGGTGTCTGATTGGAAAGGGGTGGTGGAATGGCTTACCATTTAGCTCCCTGGCATAGGTATTTTTATATAAGATTGAAGAAGTATCAAAATCATTTAAATCAAAGAATGGAGGTATTGCTGATTAAAAAAATGCCATGGAGGTCAAGACATCTCCCTCACCATGCCTTGGTGCTACCATGAAGTTGGTTTTATTATTCCCACTGTACAGATGGAAATGAGGCTTTCAGCAGTTAGAGAACTTACTAAAGCCGCATAGGTAATTTATGTCCAGATCTTAGCTGAAGTCTGTCTACATCTGAGATATAAATATATAGTTGCTCAGTCTTACTCAGAAGAAGTAAAAGAAATTTACAGACTTCATTTGAAGAAGTAGTTTTTGTTGTTACTACTTTTAAGATTGAGGTCAGAAAAACATGTGAAAGTTTTTTTAAAAGAGGTGAAATAAAGTGAATATTACTGATTAACTTCTAGAGAGAACTTTAACGGAGAATCAAGTTCTAGAGGCACAGTGAAAAGGAGGTGCCATTCGAAATCAAAATATCAATCCCACAGAGGATACCAATCTCTGAAAAAAGCCTGAAAGGAGATATTCTAAAGAAAAGACAGTCCGTAGCACATGGGCAATGCTCAGTGTCCTCTGAGAAGGGAGGCGGCACAGCAATGGTGACTGGAGCCAGCCAGACCTGAATTCAACCCTGGATCTGCCGCTCTCCAGTACGGGGACTTCACACAAGGTACTTAGCCTCTCTGAGCCTTGACTTCCTCAGATATACATAAAAATAAGTATAATGTTCCTTCTTTATAGGATTATTGCAGGGCTTAACAGTATAATTCATTCATTCAGTAATGATTTGTTAAGCATCTGTACGTGCCAGGCCCTAGACCTCTCACAGAAATAACGTGTGTATGTAGCTTTCCTCTGTACCCAGTGCACTAATAAGTACTCAATAAGTGGTAGCTGTTATTATTATATCGCTTCTTATGAAAAGAAAAAAATATAGATGAATCTGGTAAAACTGCACTGTATTCCATGTTCATTACGGCAGAGCCTCGGGTCAAATACATCCCCAAAAGCCAGGAATAACAGAGCACAATGCAGGCACCCAAAGAGGGTGGAGACCGTCTATACCCTGGCCAGGATGAGGAAGTAGAGCCTGCTTCCTCAGTACTCCCATCCTTCCACATGCAGGTGCCAGGGCCACCGCCAGCACCAGCACTTCCCTTCTGCTCCGTGTTCTGCCAGAGTGATGGACGAGCTGGCTACAGGGCCGGGTCCGTCTGTGTTGGCTGCTTCAGCAGTTCCAGCAGGAGCAGGAAGAAAGCGGAATCTGGTGGGGGTATATGTGAGACCTGGCCCACTACAGCGAGCACACCTCATCCGGCTGGTTCAGGTCCTTCAGGTGCAGATCTTGAATGAGGTACTCCACAATGCGCACACCATTGCTCCGAGCTGCAAAGTGCAGGGCATTCATTCCATCCTAAAGACAGTCAGGGTAGGGGAGATAATTACACAGCAATCTAAGGACTTCCCCCTCCTGCACTTACGTCCAGGTATGACCCACATACCGACCTGATTCCTGGCTCTCTGGTCTGCTCCAGCTCTAACCAGCATGAGCATGATCTCGAGGCTTCCAGACCAGGCTGCAAGGTGAATTACTGTCAAGCCATGCTTCCTCAAGAAGAGAAAGGAAAAGAACTCATCACTTGAGTGAGTCACAATACACTATCTCAGTCAACGAAAGCCAAGTTAACACCTAACTGTTGAAAATTAAGAAATAAGAAGAGAGTATAATATACAGTAAAGGTGCTATTTCGATTCCATGGGGAAAGTGAATATATTTAATAAGTGGTGACATGCACAAGTGGTTCTCCATCTAGAAGAAAATAAAAGTAAATCCTATATCATATCATACACACAGAAAAGCATACAAACAATACATTAGAAGAAAATCTAGACTATAATGTGTTAATTCAGAAGTTATAAAAGAGATGATAAGCAGAGTCAATAAACAAGCAATAGATTTTGAAAATATATCTTAAAGATAAATGGTTACTTTCTCTAATGTATGAAGCACTCTAACAAATCAACAAGAAAAAGGCAATTAAACCAATTGAAAAATGGATCAAACAAGGTTTTCTCTTAAGGTTATTAGTGAAAATGAAACCATTACAGTTTATGAAACCTGGCAATATCTATTAAAATTTTAAATACAACCAGCAGTCCCACTCCTGGGACTTATTTAGTGAAAATAAGTTTTAGGACCTAATGTTATATAAACAAGGATATTAATTGCAATCCTTAAAACTAGGTGCAACATTGGAACACTGAACAAATTAGGGAACAGCCATTAAAAATAGTGAATTAGGGCTGTAACAATTGACTTGGAGAGATTTCCGTGAGGTAGCTGTTAAATGTGGAAAATAAGATGCAGAGAAAATATAAATTAATCCCATTGTTTATAAAACAAGCAACGACCAAAAAGCTCATACACGTATATGTATATATTTATCTATAAATGGGTAAGTAGGTGGATGGATTCTGATAGATAACAATATAGAAATGATTATATAAGCATGAGGAAAAGCACAAAATTAAACACACAGATCCTACATTGTTAAACGTAGTTACTGGAGAAGAGGAAGTTATGCAAAAAAGAAAAGACAGAAAAAACTGACATTATAAAAATAATTCTATCTGTATACAAATTATTTAAGATATTCTCTCTATAAAATCATATAGGTGTGTGAGCACATGTGCATAACTTAGGCTGAAAGAGTGATTCCACTCAGGACCTAAAGCTGCAGTGATGCTGGGAGCACTTAGATTTGTTACCAAATGAGCAGGGAGAAAAGTGTGAAAGGAGACAGCCGGCCATGAACACTGTCTGTCCCAGGAAGGAGGGACTGGAGGGCTGTAAACTGGGAAAAACTGGGACCTGCGTCCTGGGCCCCTCGTTAAAGAAGTAGCTAGAGCAGACACTATGAGCGTGATCTGCAGACTGAAGGAAGCTGACCTCAAATTCTGGCCCTACCACTTTCAAGTGTTGTAATCTTAGTCAACTCAGTTAACTCTCAAGCTCAGGACCCTTATCTGTAAGTTCATGTGTCTGCTTTTCGGTTTCCTAGCAGCCCCATCAAAAAGTTGTCCGTTCCCTCTGTACAAGTGCCTTACAAAAAGTCAGTGTTCTCAGCACATCTTATTTGCCTCTCCTAATCAGCTATGTTTGTAATCCTGGAGACCAGTTTGCTAAATGTACACAGTATAAACAAATAAACAAGGAGGGGGGTCTGCAGGGGACTTCCATGTGTAAAGTATATAAGCTTTTTGGCAGTTAATTTGGCTGCCCCAGAAGCTGCATTTTCTCCCATTCTTAGTAAAGTTCAGGTATGGGGAAGTGAGAAAGCAAGTCCTAGATTACTGAGGTGTAACTCTAAATCAGTGGTTCTCAACTAGGGACGATTTTGCCCCCAGGGGACATTTGGAGATGTGTGGAGACACTTTTGATTGTTGTGCCCCAGGGGAGATAACTGGCCTTTAATGGGTAGAGACCAGAAAGACTGCAAAACATCCTATAGTCCCAGACATCCCCCCACAACAAAAATTATCTGACCAAAATGTCACAGTGCCACTGCTGAGAAACCCTGCTCTA